AATATCGATGACAAAAGATAAAATATGAAGGCACCATGGACATAACTTCAAATCTTTTAAAGAAAGAATTAATAGCTTCTCATTACTACTGTACCCTCTGTTTTTATTAAATCAATCTATAAAAGCATGTTTACCTAGCCTAATCCTAATCCTTTTTGAGTCTCAAAATCAATTTATTTCTTTTATTAATTATTTTAAGTTATTTAGATTTAAACTTTCAATATATGAATAAAAGCTTCCAAAACAAATTATATAAAAGTTTCATTCGCTTTGCGCGTGACAAGCTGAAAAGAAACTAAACAATGTCCAATGCAATTTGTTGTACAATTTCTTTAGATGTTTCTTACATCGTATTAGTATATAAAACTTTTAATACGTATAATTAAGTCTCCTGACTTCGTTCAGATGTATCCTGATACGTTCCTGAATATTTGTTAACTATATCATTCAATAGATATAGTAGTTATTGTTATAGTGAATTTTAATTAAACATTACAAACAAACAAATGACTTCCCTTTCTGGGCGTCCCGTAGGCTCGTTTGCCCCTATGATATAAATAAACAAACATTATTGTTATTATTTTGGAGTGACCTGGAGTGAAGATGACCAATCTTATTAATATTCCATTGTCAATCAGTAATCAAAGAGGTTCGATTTGCGATCAACACTTATTGGAAAATATAAAATAATTTAAGGCGGGTTTTGTTTGCCAACATTATGTGCATTACAGTTAACAATATACCCAAGGAAAAAGTTTAGTAAAATAACCCGAAAACGAGTACAATTATTATGAACGTTGATATGGATACCCGTTTTCAAAATTAAAACGTTTGTTAAACCTAAGCGAAGACATTATCAAAAAAACAAGTGGCACTACAACGTATTTAGATCTGGCCTCAGATCCGTTTCGTGATTGCTCGTTTTTTCTAATAAGCACGTAAGTGATCAGCCTGCTGAGCCTGACACACGTCTTTGACTGTTTTGGGTCTAAGGCCGATGCTTCACGATGTTTTCCTTTATCGTACAAGTAAATGTTAAATGAAAAGAGAGAATGTCGATTATTACATAACTGGGATTTGAACCTACGGCCTCAGAGATGAGAGTTACACGCTGAACTAAGTGAACACTGCGTGTTTCGAAGCCAAGTCGTATTCAAAGTCAATATTTATGAAGCGGAAGAATTTGTTCGTTCAGCCTAATTCAGTGCATAGTAAGTAGTAGTACTCCTATTAACTTATAAAATCATGGTCCAATTTAAAGCAGCCAAAGTCGCGTACAAAAGCAAGTTTAATCGTAGGGATCAAATTGAATTTTCCACTTGAAGCCCTTCCGGCCCTCAAGTGCGCTCTTTGAAACTGCAACCAACTAATATCTACACCTACTTTGCATAACTAACGTGTTCTGAATTGCGGCGTAACTTGTTCTGTACTATTAATATTGCTTTTAAACGATTCCAACCGACATAGTGCGGTGGTGGCTACAATTTCAGTATAACCTGAGAAAAACTCTATATGTTAAACTTAAAAGCAAAAAGGGGCTTCTTGAAAGTGATAAAATTACCCCCCTAAAACATAATAACGCTAGTTTTATTATTCATCACTTCGCAAGTAACATTGCATTAGTCACTTAAAATAGCAATAGATGAATTTATCCGTGATAAAATAGTAGTTTATGCAACTCTCATATAATAGAGGGTATTAAAACATGAGTGTAAACCTATAGCCATGAGATTAAATAAAGTAGTGTATGCAACTGCAAATAATTAGGTATTAAAATACTAGTGTATTCTTATTTTGAAACTCGCCTGCGGCTCGTTTCAAAAACTACACTCATATTTTAATACCCTCTATTATATGACAGTTGCATAAACTACTATTTTTAATTTTCTTAAAGAAGTATGTAAATAAAATATGCCAATAAAAGTCTGTATTTCATTTCATAATAATTAGAATATTACCGAAAGAGATTATATATAAGAATTAATAAGTGTGTACTTATAACTGTATTTTGTGTTAATATGTTGTATTCCAATTTCAAAATTCATTGTATAGTGCAAATTGGCTGTTGCCTCAAATTATTGTCTCACCTGTAACATGAATTTAACCCAGAAAACTCAATAAAGCAATTGTTAAGTACTCAATAACATTTATTACCCACTTAGGGCCGCATCAATATAACAAATAGAGACTGTCCATCATGTACCTAGTGAACCAACTAAGCATGAGCCCGTAATCAGATCATTTAGCACTGCCAGGGCCGTCTCAAATCATTTAAGCGACGATTAATTCATCCATTGTACGTACACAATATCCCATTAATGTAACACTCCCAATTAATATGTTAAATTCGCGACGGATTATACTGTATTTGTTTAAATCGATAAGCGAAATTAATAGTCTAAGCACATGCTTACTGAGCTTCCAAACTAGATGTTGCATATTCAATGAGTGATTTGCGTAGGTAAGCAATCGCTTATACATAACACAATTTATGTACTAACACTTCCACAGCGCTAGATAAATTAGATAAGATTCTTGTCATTAAAACTTCGTGATAAAAGTGTTTGAACAAGTTCACTATGGACAGCAATGCCGTGCGGAAGTAATAAAAAAATAAGCTTTTTAGGTGTTTGATATTTTAAATCGTAAATAAGTATATTATAAGTTATATATAACAATAACAAAGATTCCCCTTACCGTAATAAAATACGGATAAAATTATTCTAAAATAGGAAAAATTTTATTAAAATTAGGTAACAAAATCTTAATTCATCTATAATAATTGTACTGAATCTTTTATAATACGTCTAATGAAATTTATACTATTTATAATGAGAAAAGTAAAGTAATATGTTATTTATAGAAGAGTCTTAAATTCCACTTATTTTAGAAATAAATATAAAAGAAGAACCAATCTTTCTAAAATACTAAATCTAGGTAACATAATACGAATTCTATAAAATGTTCACAAAATTCAGTTGATAAAATTAAATGTATCTTCAAATTGGAATTGATGCGTCTAAGTAATTGGTCAGTTCAATACCATCCTTTTAAGTTTAAAATTAATAAGTTTTATAGCATTTTATCTAGAAGAATAAATAAAGTTTAGAGAATGAAAAATAAAAGTGACATTATTGTAATGAATTTTTAAATATAACGGATTAAACTCAGAGTATTTATTGGAATCACTGTGTCTCTAAGTCTTATGAATAAAAAAAATACGAATTTATACAGAATATTTATGTGTAAACAGTGTTGCTTGGAGTATGTGACTCACAGAGAGCGGAGTTATAATGCAATGAAAGAACTTATAGAATCTGTATCGGAGAAAAATTCCTTCAGAAAAGTCGTTTTCGATTGTTATTTGAAAACCCCTGTTACTCAACATATAACAATAAGAGAAGACAATTTTGCAGTCTTTGGCAATAGCTAATGAAACTTTACAAGTACTTAAGTGCTAGAAGGGGACTGTTTACTGCCTCATTGGTGTTTCTCTTGACGTGTGATCGTAAATTTTTTACGCCACGATTGAATGGTCCGCCCTCAGCTAAAGCAGGGCATAAACTTTCATGATTCCACTTTATGGTACCTATTCGTGTTCATTTTATAAATGATGCGCCTTTACACTGTTTTATTGTATTCGCTATTGTTTGTGATCGGATTTACAAATTTCATAAGAGGCTAAGTTTCTTGGTTTCCCTACTACGTACGTTCTACACAACTTCGGGTTGGAAAGCACGTTTGTGAACTATCTGTAATGTCGTAAATGTTTTAACACATTTTTCATACACAGAGACATTTTTAATCATACTTTTATGAATGAACGGTGAAAGATGAATCTTGTTGCTTTTGGTATTTTATCGCTGATTGGTATTGGTGGCTAGAGCAATATAGACAAATTGAAATGAAAATAAATTCTATAAAAATTTCACTTAAAATACGAGTTTGAAAGCAACAAAAGATTGGATTCCTCGAAAAGCCCATTATAATAAAAATGTTACTGAAGAAATTCTGTAAATTTCTTAAACCCATTACAACGACAATCAATTAGCCTCACCTTTTTACTGAGGGGACAAAATAAGACAGAGCAAATATCACGTCTTCAGTTTATGGTGCTTTCGTTTCCTTTGCTCCGTGACTCGATGTTCGGGGACGTGTTCCATTGACCGCCCCTAACTATCTCAAAGCCTTCAAAATTCTGTCTCATTGGGATTGTAATGTAGCAAAAATTACTTTTAGGAATGCACATTACAATGACAAATAGAATAGCAATTTTACCACTTTGTTATGAATATAATATAAACAATGCCACTGACGAATTTTATAGAATTAAAATAAGAATATACTGATATTAATTTACTAATCTGTTATTGATATAGAATTATTACGCATTATATAATTTATAGTTAGATATACTATTATAATAAATCATTATTTAACTCAGTTATCGAAAAATAAATAAATATATTGTCTTATTTATGTAACTAGTATGTTTTTGTTAATAATATATGCCTAAGTAATTGAAATTGTTTTCTTAAGTTTATTGAAATTCAGTACCAGGAACAGCTTTTGCACGAAATCTATTTCCAATATTGCGCTAGGGTTTACTTTAGAAAAGCCGGTTTGTATAAACATTAGGTAGATACTGAAAATAGCTTTTCAATTATATCAGGTATATCGATTTCTATAATGAATAGAGCCAGGAGTCCTTTGATAGTACAATTTTATTGTGTTAAGTCACAATCTGGAGTTATAAGTCTAGAGTAAACAGTGATATGGTACATGGTATATGGTGGACTCGGTTTCCGCACAAAGACACTCATTAGGTCCATTGTGCCTAAATCAACTTGGTGTCGGGTATGGGAGAGACAATGACATCACATGTTCAGGCCAGCCAGCTAAACGCGAAAGCGTCCTCGCACCAGGTTTTGAGGACACCATCCGAAAAGTGAGCTTTAACACGGAACCTGATGTCACTTAGTTCTGTTGTCAGGGAAGCTTCAAGATCTGCCTGCCATGCTTGAAGCTTTTCCTAGATTTTCAGGCGGATTATCCGCCAGTTCTTGAGTCATATCTGAGAAGGTCTCAGTCATAACAGCAACACAACACAGCAATTCGTTGGCTTTATACGATGCTGCCGCATAACTGGCCGAGGTCCCTCCTACCGACCGAGGTCTGTTAGGTTTGACCCTTTTAGTTTCCCCAGTCGTCAGTACAGAGTCCTCTGGCCGTTCGCGTTTCTTTTCCATCGTTTGTTGGTTTTTTGGGTTAGTTACTGCCACTACGTCTTGTGCTGCACTTAGAGCCACCGGGCTGAAGCGCAGCATTAGACCCTGTCGGCTTCGGTGCCCCTTTCCTTCCTCCTGCTGCTGTATTACTTGCATATTGAAGAATTTGCAAAAGTCGAACATAAGCTCACTGTCTCTCAGAAAACCGGCGTGAAGTGATGCAAAAGGTTCGCCTTCTTGTACTCGCGTTTCGTGCGGTGAGAGAGATTCCCGGAGCCCATCCCCCCCACACAAGAAATATGAAGGTGCAGAAAAAACAGAATCTACCCCAGGGGGGTACCACACGCGCTCGCGGTGGAGAATCCCCCTCTGGGCGTCCACCACCGGGACACTCAGCACCCGGTGGTGGACGCACAGGCTGCCCTTCGTATTCTGGGGGGGGCAATTCTGCGCTCTACAAAAATAGTAATCGTCCTCGGGGCAAACGGAGCAATTATACAAAGGCACCCCCGTCCACACTCGCCGTGGACTTCACAAATGTTAGGGGGCTTAATTCTAACATCAACGCTGTCCACTATCATCTAGAGACTGCGAAGCCGGCCTTGCTCTTTCTTACCGAGACTCAGATATCCTCCCCGGCTGATACTTCCCACCTATCCTACCCGGGGTACAAATTGGAACATTCATTTGTGCCGCGGGCTGGAGTTTGCGTGTACGTCAGAGAGGATGTTTGTTCTCGTCGCCTCGGGACGCTTGAAGGAAGGGACCTATCTAACCTCTGGCTGCGCGTAGACTGCGATGACCATCCGCGATTCTACGCATGCCTGCACACAAATGGTCCCTGCGATTACGCGAATACCAGATGTGGATGGTCATAAACCCTCTTTGTTGGACCTTCTGCTGACTTCTCATCCGGAGAACTATCAAGTCTCTGTTGACCCGCCATTGGGTTCATCAGATCATTGTGTGGTCCGGAGTACTGTGCCATCTACGCGCCCTTCACGGCCCCGCTTTATGGGTTGTCGCCGTATGTGGCACTATAAGTCAGCAGATTGGGACGGGATGCGGTCTTTCTTTGCGTCCTACCCTTGGGGGCCTATGTGCTTTTCACCGGAAGCTCCAGATTCCGTCGCCGCCTCTGTCGCCGAAGTGGTTCTGCAGGGCATGGAACTCTTTATTCCATTTTCTGCGGTGCTGATCGGTGGCAAGTCTCAGCCCTGGTTTAAACGTTCTTGCAAGGCGGCCTCGCGTCGAAAGCGAGAATGCTTTAAGGCATGGGCGGAAGCGGCGAAATCTCGTGATGCCAATACCAGCGAACTTAAAAAAGCATATAACTCAGCCTCCAGGTCCTTCAAACGGGAAATCACTAAGGCAAAGTCAGAGCACATTGCCAGATTTGGCGAGAGATTGGCCCAACTCCCTTCAGGGACTCGAGCCTTCTGGTCTCTCGCCAAAGCTGTCCAAGGGAATTTTTGTCAGCCCGCCATTCCGCCACTGCACAGGGAGGATGACTCTCTGGCCCACACTGCGAAGGAGAAGGCTGACCTTTTGGGCTGTCTCTTCGCGTCTAACTCGACTTTGGATGACCGAGGGAGATCACCACCGACCATTTCGCGGTGAGATTCTTCGATGCCGGAAATCACATTCCGGCAACGTGCTGTCCGCAAAGCACTATCTTCCTTGGACATTCATAAGTCGAGCGGGCCGGATGGTATCCCCCCAATTGTGCTGCGTACTTGTGCTCCTGAGTTGGCTCCGGTCTTAACGCGCCTTTTCCGGTACCTGTACTCGCTCGGCACTGTCCCGAAGTGCTGGAAGACCGCTTTGATACATCCGATCCCTAAAAAAGGCGATCGCTCTGATCCGTCCAACTATCGCCCAATAGCTATAACCTCCTTGTTCTCCAAAATAATGGAATCCATTGTTAATTGCCAACTCTTGAGGTATCTAGAGGGCCACCAGCTGATTAGCGATTATCAGTACGGCTTTTGTCGTGGTCGTTCGGCTGGTGACCTTCTTGTATACCTTACACATAGATGGGCAGAGGCAATTGAGTCCAAGGGGGAGGCGCTAGCGGTTAGTTTGGACATAGCGAAAGCCTTCGATCGGGTGTGGCACAGAGCACTGCTCTCGAAGCTTCCAGCCTATGGGCTTCCCGAGAAATTACGCGATTGGATCTCCAGCTTTCTGGCCGATCGGAGCATCAAGGTCGTCATTGACGGAGCATGTTCCGACCTAAAACCCGTAAACGCTGGGGTCCCACAAGGCTGTGTTCTATCCCCGACCCTATTTCTTCTGCATATCAATGGTATGTTGAAACTTAGCAACATTCATTGCTATGCGGATGACAGCACTGGGGATACTTTTTACACTGGCCGGGCAGGTATTTCTCGGGCAATTGTTGATGAGTACCGGAACAAACTTGTGTCTGAAGTCGAAACTCTACTACGTGGAGTCTCAGATTGGGGCAGACAAAACCTAGTCCAATTTAACCCCAAGAAGACACAAGTTTGCGCGTTTTCCGCTAAAAAAACACCCTTTGTCGCTACTCCTCTTTTCGAAAACACTCTTCTTAAAGCCACAGCCAGCATTGGAATACTTGGCGTTGACATATCGAGCGACGTTCAGTTTCGCGGTCACTTGGAGGGAAAGGCTAAATTAGCCTCCAAAAAGCTTGGTGTGCTCAGCAAGGCGAGACGGTACTTCACTCCGGGCCACCGCATGCAACTATATAAAGCGCAAATTCGGCCCCACATGGAGTACTGCTCTCACCTCTGGGCGGGGGCTCCCCAGTACCAGCTCCTTCCACTTGACCGTATACAACGCAGAGCGGTTCGAATCGTCGACGACCAATCCCTCTCCGAGCGGCTTGATCCTTTGGCGTTGCGTAGAGATGTGGGGTCACTCTGCATCTTCTACCGCATTTACCATGGAGAGTGTTCAGAGGAGTTGTTCGGATTAATACCTGCAGCTGAGTTTCATCATCGGACGTCGAGGCAGAATACGAAATTCCACCCGTATCACCTCGACGTCCGACGTTCCACAACTGAGCGTTTTTCAAGGCAGTTTTTGCCGCGCACCACCACTATGTGGAACCAGCTGCCCACTGAAGTATTCCCGAACCAATTCGACTTAGGGTCCTTCAAGAAAAGAGTGTACCAATTCTTAAAAGGCCGGCAACGCACTCGCGAGCCCTCTGGCATTGAGAGTGTCCATGGGCGGCGGTATCACTTAACATCAGGTGAGCCTCCTGCCCGTTTGCCCCCGTTCTATTAAAAAAAAGAAAAAAAATAGTGTACTTATGTACGCGCGTAAGAAGTTATACTTCTTTGGCATTATTAAAAATAGTTTATGATTGCATGCAAATAATTAATTACAATTAAATAATCAAAGACTGGAAAAGGAGTCATTATAGTCAATTAAGTTCAGTTTAATTTGAAAAATTAAATATTATTATATATTTAGAACATCTCTACCAAACACTAAGAAGTATGTTGTTGCTTTGGCAGTATTGCACAATATAAAATTAATAAATTTCTTTGAAAAAATAATCAAAACTCCTTTATTTGTTTAAAAGGTAAATGACAAATGTATTATGGTATTCAAAATTTTGGCATACGAACTTCACGCATATTCTATTTCTTTTTACTTGTAGATTGTATTCCTATTGTGGACTATAATCACACTCCCAATTTTTTAAGGTGGGGCATCGTAAAATTTCACTCTCATAAATTTATATAAGTAAAGAAGTATAACTTCAAAAAAAAAAAAATAAGCTGCTATAAACTAAATTGCAACCGTCTTAAAAACATATACATAACTAAATCATATACGATGAAATTTTCGCCATGTATACTGACCGAGATGTACTCTTACTAACATTTTATTAATTTCTTTACTGCCTTGACCCGAGAGTTTTAATGTGAATTAAAAGACGCATACGATTGCATACATATAGGTATGTTAACTAAAGCTGGCGGCTTCAACACATTTACACTTTGTGCTTGTGTAGTGTCTGTGAATAAGCGCGAGACGTAATGTCAAACTGAAATACAATCATAAATACATCATGAATAAACTGTCCGTCGTGTATGAGTGGACTAAAATGTATAGCATGGCAAAAAAATCATATTTTGAAACATACTGTATGTGAAATTGCATTAGTGTGAGTACTGTGAACCCGCCAGCTTTCGATAACCGACCTATACATACATAGTACATTGATAATAATAATTGGTCAAACGAAAAGACCATTCGCAATCAAACTTTTTTCTTGTCTTCTTTTGTTTTGTATTTAGTTTCATAATTTCACGCACCAATTTTTGCAATATGAAAATGAGATTACAATGAAACAAAATTTCCTAAAAAATATGACAAATGATAACATAAATATCCCCACAATCCTCCCACCCCTAACTCTTGATTTCACAACCGACCGTTATTAAATCGGAATTCCGCAACGTTTCAGAGAAAATTGTAAGAGGCAAGCTTCGATGTTTGTGAAAGTTTACAAATGTAAAATTTATTACAACAGCAATATGAAAGGCGTTGGGATTGACGGTTATACAGGGTGGGTACGGAGGACTGTTCGCCGAGGCGAAAACAAATTAATTGCTATCGGTTACGTTCCAGTGTCGTAATTGCTTTGTTCTGGCGTTGCGCGATCGATCAAGTGCGAAAAATTAATTGAAATTGCTGATCAACTCAATAGTGTTCGGAATTCTTCGTTTTTATTTATAACAATTGATCATTTGAAGCACTCTAATTGATGAAGACAGTTTCGTAATGAATGAAACACTGTGACCGAAAAAGTTCAGATCTAATGTTCACATGTTAGCCTGAGGAACTATAGCAATTGCACCGAGTGGGGCCAAATTAACACTAATGAAACCTATCAGTAACAGAGACCTTTTAACATAATCATAAGTTTATAAAAAAATGTATATGAGGGAGCTATTAGTCACTGAACATTGATTACGTAGACAGTTTCAAGACCATCGCGGAAGAGAGAAACATCGCTGCGGTTACAATACGGTATTTTAGTTGCCTTTTTGTAGAATTTGAAAACAGAAACATGAATTTATAGAAATGAGATATCAGCTGGCAGTTTTTGGAGATTCCCAATGTTTATTTCCAAACAAAACCCGAAAAAACGT